GGGCCCCCCCCCCCCCAAATCTGCAAGACCTGGGAGAGCATGACAGCGCTGGTACTGACCTGTCCAAAGGCACTGACCCCCTTATCTGTCCGCCCACAACGATGATAATTGGAAGTCTGCCTATTTTCTACCAACCGAGTCTTGCTTAGTGCCTCAAACAATTTCTCTTCAATGGTATTGTTGGTGTTCTCCTGGCTGGCAAAACCCTGGTATCCCCATCCCAGATAGGCTATCTTCAGTGCCACATGTCTCTTGCCATAGGCACTAAAATCAAATGGACGCTGCTGGCGTTTCTTAGTTTTCCCAGATGCCGAAGGGCCACTTTTTATGCCATTGCTCTCCTTGCCCTCTGAGAGTTTCTCTTGAAGTTTCTTCACCTCTTCTTCCAGTTCTTGCACCCTCTTAAGAAGTCCCTCTTCTTGCATTGTCTCCATACCCAATTCAGACTTAGCAAGGTCTACTGGACTATATTGACCTGGAGAACTTTGGTAGCTGCTCTGTGTCTGCAGAGAGAGAAGGGAATCTGAGATTACATTTACAATTAGATTTAGTATAAGCTTACTTCTGGAGTTTTTTTCACATGGAGGGAATTGACTATACATTCTATCACCAGCCTCAGTATTTTACATTTCTCTTGTACTGGCATAACATATAGCCTTCTGAGTTTAACTGGGACTACCTTTCCTTATTCAGCAAAATTTATTCTTTTCAATACTTCTAAATCCCCTATACCTGGTCTCTCTCAACCACCATTGTAGCAGTAAGTCCACTGTATTAAACCAAGCTTTCAGATTGCCCTTCAACATCTGTACAGTTTCTTTTGCCACAGTTCTGTACTTCCAGATCAAAATAATAAAACATTCTGCAAAGAATGCCCAAGCTTAACCCCTTATGCATTTGCTGTAACATTTTCCCTTCATAATGGCTTCTTCCAGAGATGATTAAAGCTCAGATGTTCAAATCTAAGGGATATGGGGTTAACTAAAAGGATTCCCCATTTAAAATAAGGAAACAGAACATCCCAGTCTCCTAGGCAATTTTGAAAATGTCAGTCTAAAATGTTCTCTTAACTTGGGTCTCTCTATGAGAAGGATTCACAACGCATGACATTCTATCACAGTTTTATCTCGGGCTAGGGTTACCTTGACCTCTATGTAACTACCCATACACATTGCACTGGACTACCCCCATTACCTGTGCTGGTAAACATCCACACCTGGCATCCAAGATTAACCACAACTTCCCCTGTTCACACAAGGGGAAATCATACAAACACTTTCACAATGGCTTTCTCTCAGTTTACAGAGAGGCAAAGCATGGATAGGGTTCTATCTTGTACTTCTCTAGGACTTAGTGGTCTGCTATGATAATCTAAGTCTATTGCTGTTGATCAGTACTGTGTATTTCAGTATAACAGCATTTTTAACACCCAGTTCAAAGGGAACATCTTGGTATGGGCAGCGAATAGGTTCTGTGTATATTGTACCTGGTGTATAGCACCATCTGTTGAAGAGTTGCATTGAATTACAATAAATTTAGGACTGACTGCAGTGCTAGACCTTACTTATTTGCTAAATTCCCTGTTAACATTTAGATGTCTGCTATTAAGTGCACTATTTTATTGTTCACTAACTACTGCTTAATTACACTTAACTCTTACAGAATAAGTGACAATCAGCCCAGCCCAAGTGAAGTCATGGAAGCACTATTGGGACCAGATCAGTATAAGTGGGCCACTATGAACCATGAAGAACGCATGGCAGCAGCTGCTATGGCCTTTACCCATCTGTGTGCAGAGCAAGGTAATGGAGATAGCTTGAGAAGAACCTGGGCTCCCTCTCACTATGACTCCTACATTAAGGCTTCTGTGAGTTCTGGGATCAAGCCATCTCTTCCTCTACCAATGCACCAGCAGACAGAACAAAGCATGCAATCGGAGAGCCTCTCTGAAGTACCCACAGGAACTAGGAAGCCAGTGATGAAACGGAAAGTTTTGAGGAGGAGGCCTAATGGAGAAGTGGAAATATCTGATGAGTCGGCCATTAGTGAACCAGAGACCAATGATGAAAGTGGCAACGAGGTCTGGGATTTGAGACGGAAACTGCTTCATCTACTTGCCCATCAGGAAGACAGTGTAGCTGAGGTAGAAACTGAGCCATGTAGCAGTTCCCCTGAGAAGTCTTTTCTGGATCTCCTCCATAACACGCTCCCCCACAGACACATTCCCCCATTTTTCCCTAGGGATTGCCAGAGTCAGGGCTCCTCAGCTTTTGAACAGGACTTACCTGAACAACCAAAGTCCTTTATTCCTCCAAGATTAGAGCAGCTAGGTCGTAATCGTGGGAAGACTGATAGAGTAGCCAGGTATTTGGAGTATAAGCGGGACTGGGAAACATTCCGGATACCAGGGGAGGATCACAGAAAAGAACTGTGCTGGGGAATCCGGGAACAGATGCTGTACAAACCTAACATCCCAGCTAGGTCTCAGCGCACCTATGTCCCCAACAATTATCTGGTCCCTACAGAAAAGAAGAGATCTGCCTTGCGCTGGGAGGTACGCTGTGACCTGGCAAATGGTCTCATACCCAGGAAGAGCTTCTCCTCATAGGTAGCCAGAGTTTCTTCAGCTCCATCCATAGAACTGTTCATCATATGGCTGCTTAGAGCAGTGATATTGTTAAGTTATTTGTTCTCTCTTGTAACCTCAACACTTCGTTTTAACAAAAATCTCCCTTGTGCTTCTACATAAACAAGTTTATCTTAGGCAGAGCTATTTTATACTATCTTGTTACCAAATAGGAAGACAACTGACCCAATTGGCCAGACCTGCAAAATCTCTGAGAAGGAGACTTGCGTGTGAAGCTCTTAAAGTGAAGATGACCAACTTATAGGAATCTTGTATACCCAGGAGAATAACCAGTACCACCAGCCTGTTTTGCCTTTATTTGCTCTTGCTCACCTGAATGAATGGTTTTATCTATCTTCTAGGTGATACATTTCTTTATTAAAACATGTAAAACAATCTGGTGTGGTTCCATGGATTAATTGGAAATACTCATCATTCCCTATTGTTGTAATATTTATAGTCAATCCAGTAGTACTATTGTTATCAATAAAGAATAGGATTTTTTTTTTTTTACCCTAGCTATCTAATCATATTCTCATAACAAGATTCAGGATATGAGAGTTAAACAGCTTCAGTCTTTAGGATTACGGAAAGCTGTTGCTCTATGGCACAGGCAAGGTTTGAAGAGTTTCACTAACTTATAAAGGTTAGAGTCCTGGAATCTGCTTTAAGTTTTGCTTATATTATAGGACTAGTACTGCCATTGCTTTACTGGCAGCTAGCAGAGACACAGCGTATGGTGGCAGGCTTTCTGCTGGCTTTGCTGCATCACTAACCCAAACAGAGGCTCTTTTGTTGGTACAGCTGTGTCCAGATAGGTGGAGGGAGAGGGTTGTTAGCAGGATCATGTCTGCTGAGAGGTCTGATCTTTTCACACCCATAGCTACACTAACAAAATCCCATAGTGTAGATGAAAACAATGCACTTAACTACATAAGTAATGCTGAAAGAGGACAATGAAGGGAAGTTATAGAAACAACTTGAAAAAATTAAGCTCCCTTCCTGCTAGTTGTGCTGCATGCAACACACATGAGCTTCTCTCTGAACTAGACCCCTGAACAAGTCTTGCAGGCAGAATCCAGATGTGCAGGCATGTGTGGCTTGTGGTGCTGCAAACTATACAAGTTGCACCTTAGTGCTTGGCCCTACTAGTTTGCAGCACCAGGGCAAAATTTGCTACTGGCATTTCCTGGTAGCAAAAAAAATCTGGAAAAAGAGCAGCACAAAGTAGCAGGTGCCAGGCTCCACTGTTGACTCTCCTCCATGAGGCACACTGTGCCCCAGCCAGCTGTGGAGCAGCTAGCTGGGGGTATTGTGCCTAGAGATGGGGGAAATGGGCAACCATGAATCCACTGGGTCATACAACAAAACATGCAATCAAACAAA